GCTGACCAATCAGAGCACAGAGGGCTCATAGGGGGGGGGTAAGGAGCTCCAACAAGCCGTTTAGGACAGAGAGTGAATACACATACTATACAGAGATGCTGTATGAGAAACCAATGTGAGTTTAGAAAATTGCACAATATAAATTGATTTTAGGTGACCTCAACAATGGAATTATGATCAGTAGAAATGGCCATGACATGGACCTTTAAGTAAAAGTACAAAAGTGTTATCAGCAAAATGAACTTAAAGTATGAAAAGTAAAAGCAATCATAGTTCTGAAAAATGACCGTTATGTGTGGATATATAATTATATTTATGTGACATTTCTAGATAATATTGAGGCATCAAGTAGCATTTTACTGTTGGAGACAAACAAAGTTCTGATTTACTTTATGTAAAATATTTTGTGACAATTTTTTTTGAGATGCATTTCATTAATAAGTAGCGTAAGCTGTAAAATAAAAAAAATGTTCCTTTCAAATGTAGTCGAGGAGAAGTATAAAGTAGCATAACATGGAAATACTCAAGTAAACAAATTGAACTTAAATACAGTTCTTGAGTAAATGTACTTAGTTACTTCTCCCCTCTGCGTACTAGTTGGGTACAAGAAGCCTTTTGTTTTTCTGTGTTGTCTTGTGTAGTCGGAGCTGTTCAAACAGACATTTGATTTGAGTTTAGGAGTACTTGTATGACATATGGCATGGTCCTTAGAGCTTTGTGGGAAACTCAGGCATGCCACAGGCTGTGGGAATTGCCAAATGGGAAGGTTCAACACTGATCTCTGTAGAACTTTGTTTCTAGTTAGCGTAGCATACTCTTGTGAAGCAGACATCTATATACAGTATGAGCGACCTTTGAAGCACTACTAGTGTGTGGATTCATATATTATCCTTGTCCAATATCATCACTCACCCTAGAGAAAAAGGAAATAATGAAATCTCGCATCTGGACCGCTCCGGCAAAAACAAAACAGAGTCTGCTGTACGTACATAACATCATATTGAGTTGTCATGTAAATAATGTGAAGTATTCCCTCTTTTATTAATCCCAAGCGAATTGTTAAGACTGAGAATGGGCCACAGAGGCAACCTAGACCATGAAAGGTGATATGGATTTTGATGAATGCCAAATGCGAGTGCTGGAAATGGGAGTTATTTCACAAGGGCTGAGGGCTGCATTAAAGCACTGTGTGTCTCTGGTTTCCACCGGTGTTGGTTTGGGAAGTGCTGCATTGGATTCATTTGTCCCTGTGAGTCGTTCTGTAGACAGGGCGGGTTACGGATGGCTGTGGCGGCGCAGCAGTCCTCTGTCAGGCTGACGGCTGTGACAGTAATGCAGGCTGTAGCTGCTAATGGGACCGCCGGGACGATCCGCCGTGTGCGACATCAATCAGGATCCTCAGCCACGCTCGCTCAAATGGCCCTCCTCACTCACTCAACACAGAGCAGATGTCCCAGTCTGATCCTCCAGCACACGTATAAATAATGCCAAACGCATGCTAATGACGTTGTTCTGTTGCTTTGACAAAGCAAATCCACATTTGGGATACAAATGGCTGCAAGGTGTTCTTGCATCCTGTTCAATGCAGGTCTAAGAAGTATTCAGTGTTTCTTCTGCAGTTTTTTTAAAAGGTTGTATGGTCGAAATTAATTGATCTGGACTGATATCAGTGGCCTATTGTTTGTTGACAGGTTTGGTGTAGAATAAGTGTAGTTACATAATATGAACATGTTAACATGCATCCTGGGAAGTTTTATTTCTAACATTCTGCTTGTATTTAGTCTTACTCACCTCATGCATTGTATTGCATTTGAGGTCAAGGAAATACATTTCTCCTACTTACAAAACATTTGCCAAAGTTAGAAAACATGCATTCTTTTTACATCCACATTGCTGCATTTATTGGCACATGTGTGTATCAGAGGCATATCAGGAAACCATTGGCAAGGAGGTGCCAATGTGATACAAACCGAGCGAAGAACCAAATAAAAACAGAACGATTATTTGGGTAATTGTTGGATTGGTAGGTAGATAGATAGATAGACTTTTTTCATCTCAAATTGGGAAATTATTTTTGTTACAGCACCAGCGTGTTCAGGCATTAACATATTTAAAAGGTGGAATAAGATACATAATAAAATAAACATAAACAGCAAGTATATACATACAGTATCTACAATATAAAATACGTATATCAGAATACACAATATAAAATATTCTAGAATGTTGTATAAAAGACCAATAGACAAACACTGAACATATATTTGTCAGTATTGCGAGTTATATTTGAAAAAAGCTCACCTTAAAGAAAAAACAATATCATGTCATGCTCATTCATCCACACCGTAAGGGTTGGGGACACTTTGTCTCGCCGTGGCTCACCTTCCTGCATTGTCCCACTAAAGGACGGGGGCGGTCCCGAGGGTCCCTGTAAGCAATAAAACGACTCACCTTCACAAAGTAAGCCACAAGTTCTTCAGAGTGAGCCGGGACGTCACCTTATTCTCTCTCTTTTACCTTGTCCCCCCCGCCCGGTGCTGAATCGACACACTGGAGTCTGCTGGAGCGGAGCATCGATCCCTCCCCCAGTCAGCACGTCCTCA